AAAGGGAAAGAAAAAAAAAAAAAAAAAAAAAAAAAAAAAACCTTATAAAACTTAAAAACAAACTAAAACAAGACAGCATGGTAAAAGAATAGAGAAATATCTGAAATAAATAAACCAAGACAAAACAGAAGCTGGAACAACAAAACATCAACAATCAAGGACAAGCAAAATCAATATAATCATTAGAAATACCAAAAAAATATTGTTTTGAAAAGTACCAATGCATCAAAAGTAAAAGAATCAAAAGCAACTATGAAACAAAGACAAAATTAAGATCGGCAACAACAAGAAGGAACAAGAAGAACATACAAAACTAGAAAAGAGATTTCGATCAAAAAATAAAAAATAAAAAAAACTAGAAAAGAGATTGAGGAGCGGATAAGTGGAAAACTAACCCAACTAGCAGCGATCCTGAAAAACATTTAAATCAAACATCAGAGACATTAGAGAGTAATTCAGTTGACAACCACAGAGGCCCCTCTTCAATCTGAATATAACAACATACACCTAGCCAGGCGATGTGCCACTTGATTACAACTACAAGAAGCATATTGACAAATCACAACAGGAAGAAGCTTTAGATAGGCTTGCGCTTCTGCTACTAATGCACCATCGGAATCCAAACATTCCTCTAAAGCATTCAAACATCTAATTACCTCTTGAGCATCTATTTCTAGAACAAGAGACCCATAAACCATCTAAGATGCCACCTATAAACCCAAATATGCTGCCATAAGCTCAGTAGCTTTAGGAGTAAAATTACCTCAAACTCGTTTGGAAGGCACCACCATAAGTTCCTCATTACAATTACGAACAACCACGCCTAGACCCCGAAAACCCTCTTGTAAATTAACTGCTCCATCCAGATTCAATTTCACAAATGGAGCACAAGGCCTTACCCAACGACAATCCAAGACAGGAGGTAGGCTGCGGAAGTAATTCCTTCTTATTTGCCTATTAAAATTTAGTAACTAGAGCACAAGTATGAGTAACTAGAGTTTATGCAAGGACATCTGTACCATGAAACCAACACTCATTTTGATTATGCCCAAATACTCCAACACAAATATAAAATAATCCATTTATTGTTGAGAGAGAATTGTTCTAACATAACGAAACAATTCAGAAAAGCTAAGACCAGACCATTCGCCCACCAAAGAAGAGAAAGGAGAAAGTGCCAAACCTCTTTTGATGACTGACAACACCATAAATCATGTATAATTGTCTTTGGCTTTCTGGTACCCAAAAAAAAAAAGAAAAAAAAGATTATGAACAATTTTACGATAAAAAAAGATTATAGCAATACAAGGTAAGAGACCGTGCAAAGATCGCCACAAGAAACTTTTAATCTTATTAGGAATTGGCAAAGACCAGACAGAGGTCCAAAGTGCCCTTCCACCATTAGAAGTTCTTATACCCCCATCAACACGCAATGTAGTTGTTTACTTTTGTATTATATTTCATGTAACTCTTTGTAATATTAGATTTCCTAGTATAGTCTTGTAATTACTCCTTGTGATAGTAGGATTAGGATTGTAACCCTACGAGTATATATATCCCTCTTTGTGAGATGAATAACACACAACAATATTAAACCAAATAATATTCTTCTTCTTGGTATAAGCGTTAGGTTTAGAAAAAAGAAAAAAAACCTAAAGCAAATTTTATGCCCCGCCGCTGCTGCCACACAAACCCAACACGCCACCGCCGCACAAACTTGTTGTTGCCGAATCCCGCAGCACAGCAGCAACAAGAGAAAAAATGGGGTATATTCATGGCAAAGAAAAGGCACCTACTGAGACAGATCCCAAGTATGACAAGTGGTATGCTGAAAATCAGAAAGTCAATAGTTGGTTGTTGACCTCCATGACACCTTTAATTAAGAAGCGTTACATCCGACTGAAGACGACGAAAGAGATTTGGGATGCCCTTTCAACGACATTCTTTGATGGAACTAATGAAGTTCGAGTGTTCTCTTTGAACCAAAAAGTGTTTGCTACCAAACAGAATGGAAAATCCATGATAAATTATTTTGGGGAACTGATTGCGATTTTTCAGGAATTGGATCACCGGGATACGGTAGTTATGTCTTATGATTGTGATATCAATATTTGATCAAGTTCGAGGAGAAATTTTGTGGAAGGACCTTGTACTTGGTCTCCAAGAATCCTATGCATATGTTCGTCGTAAAGCTGACAGAAGGGAAGCTATGAGAAACAAAGTTGCCAAGTCCGAAGCCGCAGCCATGGTGGTGCGTTGTCCCTCTCAGACCCGGACCGACCATGATAACTGAACGAGGCAGGATGGGGTTCCTCAGACCAATGGTGGAGGGGTTGACCGTTCCAACGGCAACATTGACCACTCCTATCACTCATTGACTGATTGAAAATGCCCTCATTATGGTCAAATCAAGCATTCTAAGAATCATTGTTATAAAATTATTACAAATCCTGAATGGTGGGACAAGACTTGTGATCCTAGGTACAACAAGTCCCGTGCATCTGTTGCTGAAACGAAGGATGATTCTGAACATGTAGCTGAATAAGCGTATGCTTTGGTCATTGCTACAAGTAACAATGGTAAGGCTTTAAAGGTTTCTACATATGTTTCGAATAATACATGGATAATTGAATATGGCGCTATAGGGCATATGAATTTTAATTCTAGACGTGTACAAACCTTAAAGTAATCCTCACAACCCGTGGTATCTACTTCCGATGGTAATGTCGCCCCTGTTATTGGGGAAGGCACCATATCCCTTATTGATAACCTTTCTTT